TAGCGGCATTGCCGAAAAATGCGCCTATATATGAGATTAGGGATGGCAGAAACAGAAGTTTGGGACTTGTCGCGAAGAAGAGCTTAAAGCAAGAGGAGTGTATAATTGCGGAAGAAGTCATAGTGTCTAAACTACCGCTTCAGTCTGTGGATGGTTCAGTACAGGTGTACAACAACCACCTTGCCCAGCAGTTAAAGGCCGTCAAGAATCCAGCATTCAGTCGCAAATTTTTCCAGCTTCCCCATCTCTCTAAAGAAACATGGGGCCCCATTGCTGCCATTTTCGAGCGAGGGTCTATTCCCATCTCCCCCAAAGGCCGTGCTCTGGGTTTGGATTCTGCGTACCTCAACCACTCATGCCTTCCTAATGCACAACACTCATTGTCCGCTCCAGCTTCCAACGGGAACAGAAAGGAGAGAGATTTCTTGACCGTATATGCTTGTAGAAGCATAGAAGAAGGGGAGGAGATTACAATCCCCTACGAGAGTCTATACATGGATATAGCTGGTCGCCAGCAGTTTCTATTGCAGGAATATGGGTTCGAATGTTCCTGCCGGCTCTGTGAAAAGGAAGACCCTGCAACTGAAGCAGGCTTGGAGCTCATACTCTTAAAGCTTCCGATTATATTCATGGAGCAAGCAATAGATACAGAGCCGGCTGGTATCTTGCAGATGGCCCACACACTCCTGGACATACACCTCAAGAGTGGTTTGACTGACAGCCGCTTCGCTCGGATCGTGGAACAGTGTGCGAACATCTGTACCTGGCATTCTGACATAGGTAGAGCAACGGTGTTCTTATCAAGAGCGCAGAAAGCTTTTCTCACTATTCAAGGGACTCAAGGAAAGGATTTCTTGAGAGTTACAGAATTGGAGAGAGATCCAATGACGACGGTGAATGCAGGCCGTACGACAAGAGGGTTATCGTCGAAAGAAGATATGGGAATCATCTGGAAAAATAGAGAGAGGGATACAGAAATCATGTTCATGCTCGACGCAAAAGAGCTTGGGGAGTATATTAAACTTTCCGAATATGAGCATGCGGCCAATGGCACAGTAGAGGGGGTGGATGATGGACAAGACCCCAGCATAGATCTTGAGCAACTGGTGAAAGAGCTGGAGTTGGAGAAGAAACAACATGATCAGTCCCGCCGCCAGTATGGATACAGCTCCGATGAGAAGCTCAACAAAGGGAAAAATAAAGGTGGCCGAAAACTCAAGGGCAAGGGCAAGGGCAAGGGCAAGGGCAAAGCAGTGGTGAGTGGGATTAGCAGAGAGGGAAATGAAAGGGCCAAAGGGAAGAATTGAATCCGCAACATGTTGAAGATACGATATTCCCACGTCGTATGAGATACACATGATTGGTTTATTGTTGGTTTACTCTTCTAAGATAAGGCGGGGCTTGCTAAGGTATTTTATATAGATATCTATACCAAGGAAAGGGG